ATATGAATAGGAATAATTGCAGGGAAATGAAATCCAACAGATAAAGTCATTATAAATTCCTTTCTGTACAGAACACTCACAAAGTCTTTTAAAACAGATTATCATGTATCATATCTGATGGTGTACAGCATCAAAAAATTCTGTGCCTTTTAAAGTCTTCGTGATGAAGTGATTCCTACAAAGATGATTATTTTTCCATAAGTTACACCTTTGTATCATTCGCATGTTTGGTGTTGTATGTTTTGTATGTTTCTTATGTACCTACGGTTAATAGCTACAGAAATCGAGTACGTAGTAGCCAGTCAATAGAACCACAATTGTAACTGCTGTAGAGAACGACAAGCAAGTAGTTTTTCAATGGATCGCATTGCGTTTAAAAATATCTTTCAACACGTGGAAATCTAATGACCTCTCTTTGGACTCGGAATAATTGCATGCAAACTGTAATTGTGCCGAAACCCCGCTAGCCCATCCGGAAGTGTGGAAGCGACTTTCAAGCATTACAAACTTTGTCAGTTTAAAGGTCAGCAAGATGAACAGGGCTGATGTAAAGATGATCACCCCACACTGTAGAGCCTGCAGGTTCTGAAACGCTTTCAAAACAGGCTGGCTTTTGAAAAAGTGATATGATCTTCAGGATACTTGTCACCAGATGTGCTGCGGATTGAATCAAGACATAAATCGAACATTGGAGAAAGTCCTGCATCTGATGACCAGAAGCAAAAAGATATGTAAAACGTGTATGAAAAACCGTAAACTGAATATCGATAAGTTGACGTCGGCTAACTTCGTCCGCCAAGGTCCGCAACCCATAGTGCCGACGATAGCGACTAAACTCGTGACTCACACGCATCGCATCGCTCTTCAACTTGGTTTTGGGTTTCAAGTAAACCAATATCTTTCCCCTAACGTTGTCTAAATGGAAAGTAACTTTAGATGCGGCGCTTTTCAAACTTGGGAGGGCTGAAAGAGCGAACTGGCGAATTCTGGGCCTGAGTTTCAATGCATCCAGGAGTTGTGGAACGAATATTAAATGGTGACTTTCGAGTGATACAGTGCAGATTTTAAAGCAAAAGGTGACTAAATCCAGAGATTTGAAAATTTTGAAAAACTTTGGAAACTTAACTAACATTTAATGTTTCAGTTCTGCATTTATATTAGGACCGCAGACAATTTTAAAATTTTCCGGATAAATGGCCCTTCCAAGAACCGATGTCATTACTGGAACTTAGCAATCACTAGCTGACAAGGCGAAATGGCGGAAGTATATTGTCATATTAGATAAACAGTGTGCATTTTTGTAATTTTTACCCATTTACTCTATAAAACGCGAGTAATATCATATTGCTGGCGATGATTCAGAAGCCGAAGCATTAATATATCTAATTCTGACATGAGAAAGAGCCATGAATTAAGTCCTTCCCTTCCATCAATTTACAGATGAAATAGACGGAAATAAACAGAAATGGGAACTACGACTGTCTTGCCGTTGACAGCAAAGAAGAAGCAGAAAATACAAAAGAATTTTTATACATTTGAGGTTTCACTTTGACTGTAGGCAGATGCTTGAAAAACGATGTTAAAAGGCAGTGAAAGCAAGCATTTGCAGCCAACAACAAATCAATCAATATTTTGAGAAAGAAAGTAGTTAGCCACAACACTGCTTTGAGCTGCAGATATACAGAGATTGTATTTTCAACATTTGGCTTTGTAGCCTGGAGACTGTAGCACTTTTTTAAACCTGACAACAAAAACTGGCAGCGACCGGAGTGAAGATTTTAAGATCCAAACTGGCGGTGAGGTGGTATGATCTGATG